CTAAACGCAATCTGCCGCGCTACACCGATGTTTCACACGTGCGACTGCACAGTCTCCTGAGCTGCTGGCTGGCAGCTGTGCTGAAACTCTTCTCTTGTCATTTTCTATGTGATTAGCTCTAGCCACCAAGACCTCCGAACGCTGAGTGCCGGGTGTCCTTACACCCTACTGCTAGCTCTCCCCTTCCCGCTGCCATGGTCAGGTTGATGCAGATCTAATACGGACTGTGCGTAGGGCGCACTTCATTGTGGAGCCAGCCCTGTTGGAGACAAGTACAGGACGGGGTTCCTTTGGGAAAGCTGAGTGACGCTGACGTCCAATAGGGAGCAGGCTTACGGCATCACCGCTCTGGTCTGTTCCAAAATAAGGGGTGCGAATACTGTCCTGAAATAAGACAATTACTCTCAGCGGCACCTCTCGATTTCTCCTACTGCGTCTGTCTGTCCTGCATACCTGGGGCACGAATTACACAAGCCGCGAGGATTAGCTGAGCTCCGCTTGTTTTCTGGCAACATCCACCCCAGCAAAGCGCTTGGGAGTTTACTTGTTAACACGCCTAGAATCCTAGCGCACTGGCCGTGGGACCTCGAGAGATCATCAGATCCATTCCTCTGCCCTCATGGCAGGACCAAGCACCGTCTAGCTCATCCCTGCCAGGTGTCTGTCTAGCCTGCTCTGAAATATCTCCGGAGATGGAGATTCCACAGCCTCCCTAGACAACTTCTTCCAGCGTTTAACCACCCCGAGAGGCAGGAAGTTTTGTACGAAAAGGCAGCGAGAGGGTCTTGAGAGCGATGCTTTGCCACGTTGATCCACATTGTTCTTCAGCCACAGACTGCCCAGAAGCAGGTCTCTGCGCGGGAGCCGTGTTAGTCTGTACCTGAAAACACTCGAGCACAACGAATAGCCCGGCAGCACCGTAGAGACTGGCATGTGAGGCTGCAGGGTTGGGTAGTCGGTAGGGGCTGCCGGACTTCGCTGGGTTCCGTTTTCCCAAGGAGCGGTTTTCCTTATGAGGTTTCATTCTTGCAGCCGGGCCCTGCACCGTCTTCTCGGCATGGCTCCTTTCTCGCCCAGGGAGTGCGTTGCGTCCGGGCCTTCCCAGACGCTCTCGCACCCGGGAGTCAGGGCAGGTTTTCTGTGGCAAGGGTGGAGGGGAATATAGGAAGCTGTGTGTGTGCTGAGGAACGTCTTCCCTTTTCTTCCCCTCTCCACTCCACTGTCTGTCTGCTGCCTCTGTCCCTAGTCCGTGTCTTCCCGCCCTCTGCCGCGCCTGGCCCAGGGCGCCTCCACCGCAGCACGGCACAGAAGCAGCGTGGCCCAGCCTGGCTCTGGCTGCGTGTCACTTGAGTTTGCTGAGAAACAGGGATGGAAAGCCCAGAAGTTTCAAGAGGCAAGGGCGGGTAGTTCGGCTGGGCAGACCAGAGCCGTTACCTCATTGCACGAGACTTAGCACGTCTGGGAGATTTAATTGTCACTGCTCGTCTTGCATGAAACGTTTAGTATTTTATTGATGTTGTTTAAAACATAAAAAATCCTATTTAAGTTAAAAAAAAATCCAGTTTTTAAATGTTTTTAAATCATTGATTTTTATCCACCCTGTTACAAAGTGTCCCCTAATATTCAGCTGGTGTGTCCTGTTGGCGGTGGTGAACTCCGAAGGCTCCTCACTTGCTGCCTGACCACAGACAGTGATGTGCTGACTACGAGTGAGCACATAGACAGACATATCTAGATTAGGAGTTCTCTGCGCTGTGTTCATGAAATTGGACTATGCCCTGGATTTAGAGCAGGGTTTGATAAATGTTGGGTGCATGACATAAATGAGAGTAATGTAGGAACTGTATTAATGTACCTGCTCCGGAAATGGTAGAAATAGGTTGAGAATCGCAAGTGAATTGTTACGTTAAATAATGAATTTTGGGGGTTACTGGGTTCAGGTGAAAAGTCTCTGAGGGGAGCCGTGTTAGTCTGTATCTGCGAAAACGCTGAGGAGTCCTGTGACAGCTTGGAGCCTACCAGATGTGTTCGACAATGTTCCCTCTAAGTTTTTCCATCCATGTGCAGAATGAACTTTAAGTGCACCAAGGCAAGTGCAGCTGTGCACCACCAATCAAAACACATGCTGCCGGCGGTGGGCCCTCTGCCTGTCAGCTGGGCAGCAGCTGAATCTCTCCTGGGCAGCCGCCCAAGCACTCAGCTTACAGGGATCACTGGCATTGAGGCATCAGCTTTCCTGGGTAGAACCCACTTCCTCAGAGGGCGGAGTGGAGTTTGGAGGGGGGGGTACTTGTGAAAATGAGGCTCATCCGAGGGAATGGACGGAACAGGCAGTCACCATGTGCTCCAGCTCCTGTCATCCATTCTCAGCTTCTGGCAGAGGCCGGTGACACTACCTGCGGGAGGGCACCGCCTTCCTCACTGGCAGATGACGTCAGGCTCAGAGTGTGGCAGATTCATTACAACTACCGTTCAAACATAAGCGGGGCCAGACCACAGGCCCATCCAGCCCAGCGTCCTGTCTGCCCACAGCGGCCAAGGCCAGGTGCCCCAGGAGGACGGATAACAACAGGGAATCCTGACGTGATCCCTCTGCTGTCACCCACTTTCCAACAGGTGTTCAAGAGGAGACTAAACTGTTAGGCTGCTTGTCCAGCATAACCTTCCCGTTAACAAGGCCCTCTTGGACCCTGTCAGCCTTCGGGCGGACTCTGCATCAGTCGCACCAGCATGCCAAGAGGTGTGGCATGTTAAAGAGGAAAATGATTGCTGTCAGCCAGAGACACGGAATTTGTCTTCCCCACCCCCATTCAATCATTGTGGCTGTGGTGAATTCAAGAGGCCATCAGTATCCTCTGAAATCCAGCCCCTAGGGCCAGGACTGGGAGTGTTTCTATCTTTTGGGGAGGAAAATACACTGTCAGCACTCCACAGCTCCGAATCGCAACCTCTCAGCCCTTAGCCGCAAATATGATTTCATCAGCCACTCGGAATTCCGCTCAGAGTCCCTCCGAGACCAATTCGAAGCCATCCATGGTGCAGGCCGACGCACGGCAAAGGCCTCACGTGAGCACGTTCCATCTGCTCCCATGAGGAGCTTAGTCTCCTGGCTCAGTTATGCGGTTGCCCCAGAGGTGCAAAGGCGAGTAAGGGCCCTGTCGGTTGAGGATACAGGGCGCTCTGGAGAAGATCCCAGGGCTAATCTTTGATTGCTTGGAATTGATACACCTGGGCAGGAGGGGAACAAGTCTAGTCCCCAGTCTTTGGTCAGGCCGCACTTGTCACAGCATTTGTCCCAATGCTCGTATGAACCCCAAAAAAGAAATCCAGGTTCTCCACACAGAAATCTGTGGGCCCTCAACCAGAACAACGGTTTTGGTTGGGTGAGGGACCACCTGGCCAGTCTTTTCAGTATTACCCAATGCTGCAAACCCCTCTTGTCCCCATGGAGGCTGGCTGGCCCATTCCGCAGCGCACGGGCGTGGCTAATCCCCGACAAATGAGTGCTAAAGATTATTCGAGAAGGGTACTCTATCTCTTTCTCCTCCCCCAACACCCTTCTCAGACAAGTGACAGACCATCTCCTCCGGGCAGGAGCCGTGGAACCAGTGTCCCCG